AGTAGAAGGTCGTGCATTACCTGCCACTTAGATTGTTTTGACTACATCACACAATGCATTGACAATGGGCGTTCGGTAACAACATTGTTTCTCGACGTTAGCAAGGTCTTCGATAAAGTCCCACATATCAGACTCTTAACAAAACTCCAATCCTACGGAATAACCGGCGGGCTTCTCAAATAGATAAGTTCTTTTCTCACAGAAAGACAGCAATTAGCCAAAATCAACCACCAGTTGTCTTCCTCAAAGCCGATAACCAGTGGTGTAATAAAAGGTACTGTTCTTGGCCCTATTCTGTTTCTCTTATTTATAAATGACGTAGTCTCTGTAATCAAGTATGGCAAGCCATACCTTTTCGCAGATGATCTCAAGATAGTATATGATTATGGGTACGGTGATATGAGCGTCGAAAGCAAGATCCAACAAGACTTAAACGAGCTAAGCGATTGGAGCGAAAGTGGCAACTGACTTTCAAACCAGACAAGTGCGGTATAACCCACCCTGGACGCTGGAAACCGATAATGTGCCTATATATGTACGGTAAGCTCCTCTCGAAACTGAACACAGTCACAGATCTCGGGATAACATACTCAGATTTATCCTTTTCCGATCATGCAAACAAGGTTGTATCTGACTGTAAGCGACTTACTGGCTTTGTACTGCGTAACTTCTACACCCAAGAAGCAAGGTTAGCTATATATAGGACATGTATCCGTCCCAAACTTGAATACTTTGCTCTCCTATTTAGTAACCTCAGGTCTGTAGACAGAAAAAAATCGATATCCAGAGATTCCTCACGGAACGCATAATATGGTTTGATCAACAATTGGAATATACTGTCGGGTGTATACGTCTGATACTAGAACCTCTGCGGTTAAGGAGAGTGAAGTGCAACTTATTTCTACTCTTCAAAGTCTTTAGGAAACATTGCTACAGTAACTCATCCATAACGTGGGAAAATATTAAATCATATCAGCTGTAAAACCACGACTACCTTGTCAAGGTGGCTACCCACAGAAAATCAATTAGGGCAAACTTTTTCACCATAAAATATTGCACTCTTTGCAACCAACTACCACCTGAAATAAGATGTGGTGGAAACCCCGATGGGTTCAAGCGGAGCCTAGAAAGACACTTTAACATGTCCACCCTAGCTCGTCTAAAAGACCAAAACTGTTGGTAGAACGGAAATTGAAGGCCAGTCCAGTCTTCAGTATAGTCATATACGTATAACTCGACTCTGCTACTTACGCAGAGAACGTTTAACTAATTTACTGATTTCTATTCTCTATAATCTTCACTAAGTTGGGTTGGTAAAAGTAACACTGGAAATAATTATAATAGCATCCACACCTTTTACCATTTTACATATGTATGTTGTCAATGTAGTTGAAGATTGAACGATCAATTCATGGTTGTTTGCTCAAAACCAACTTCCCCAATTTTCGCGGAGGCATCAATACGACAGTCATCGTCTCATCGGTTGCTGTTCAGAAAGAAGTCAGCAGAAAACCGCCAGAAACCTTAGTTGTAACAGTGTTTATATGTTGGTGTTACAATAAAGAATCCTCGAGTCGCCAATTGGTGTTACGGTTTTTGCGTCCGTTATCACTAAGCGTTTCTGAGAAACTTCAAGGAACAGCGTGAGCCCGAGTGCAGCAAGAGCTGGGCATTAACGGTTTACGAGACGTGGCTGACATATATACTAATGTAATAATACTTATTATTGATGCATGTTCAATTCTTAAAATTAGATTGTCATTAAAATACTTAAGATGATTATAATATTTATGCATCAAATGTTCTCTTGCTTTACCACGCTTATTTCCCTTATAACACTCAATTATTGAGCCTAATGTATTGTTTGATATTACGAATTATAATATTGATTATACTCTTATCATATATAGATTGATTTACTTTACGGCTCCCTGTAGACTAACTACCATTCTTCAGTATACACACACTGCAGTATTGTTAACCAAAAGCCAAAATTTTGTTGGTTCTGTGTTAATATCTTTTTATAATATGTCTAGACACGTTACTTTGCATTGTCAGATGTTTACTATATATAAGTACACTAAGTCCTGCCAACCGACCTTACCTTCAGTTCATACTACCTACATTGAACCATAACTATAGTGTTCTGCTGAATCCTGCTCCACTATTCACAAAACCCAATCCTTTTACTCTTTAAGGTTTTAACTTCTTATAAAGTAATCCGTTCATTAGGATGCGTGCACACATATATAATATGTTCATAAAGATGTACGTGGAGACCTATTGGAAGCACTCATTAAGAAAGCTAGGGAGATGGAATATGAGGTACGAACATGTCTGGTACCAAACAATATATTTGCGGTAGCCATAATAATCATAGTCTCAGAGCCTAACATCAAAAAAGGAGGGAGAGTGGCACTAGCTGATTGGTATATATGGTGGTGGTCACTAAGGTGAATCGCCCCATCCTGCAGGAACAGCAATATGCAATTTGAAGGCTCGAGATATTTCTGATTTTTATGAGGGCTTAGATCTTTATCTTGAAAAAGATAATAATGAACGCCTTGACAGATCATGCTTCTACCTTTAAATATATACCATTCACTCAGCCTATTGTTGAGATGCGACCACGTGGGCTCTGCATAGATATATGGGGCATCTTGTAAATTAACTTGCTATCCATTATCGGATCTTTGAATACCACTTCACAATGTCTCATCTCATTTATTTTCTAGTAACGTCTTTACTTGATCCTCAATACATCCCATTAAACCTAACATTTTATAGCTCTTTATGAATTTGATTCGAATTATTCTATTCCTATTCTCTGTAGGGTACGGTTGTTCACCAAATAGACAAGAAGGTATGAAATAAAAACAACTGGCTTGAGAATAATTGTATTAAAGCCAAAAGTGGACATCATTATAGTACGAACTATATGGGAAGCATTATACATTGCAAATGAACGTTGTCAGCCTAGGGATTAATTACTTTCTCATTCTATTTCCTATATAAATGTATTTGTTAATAATATATTGCACTTATTTTATCACACTTTAATGATTCACCTTAGCACTTTTACTTTTCTAAAACAGCTTTCACTCCCTTGTAAACGTTGTACTTACCTCAATATTGATTGGGGATGAAAACGAAACGAAGTCGATTTTCTCGCGCAACCTGGAAGACAACTGTGCAGTTCAATAACTATACAGCCTGGTTCAGACAATGAGTGTATTTATATAAATATCAAATATTTAACTGTTTAAACATTATTAACTTGTAGAAAGTCTACGATTTGAGATTACATCATACTTGCCTGTAAAAATGGCATGCATTTTCATGTAAATTTATGTGTTTATATAAAAATATAAATTATAAATTAATTATTAATATTAATTAGAAAAGTTGATGTATGTATAAATTTCGCAGATGTGATAGCAGTGGAAAATTACTGGGTAACTTAACCAAAGAGGTATACAATTTGAAGATTTATTCTTTTTCATTTGGATGTGACGGATGGATAGAAGAGGCAGTTGTGTAATATTTGCTTCTTGCAGAAGGTAAGCTGTCATAGATAAACTGGAAGTTCTATGATACTTAAAATCTATCATGGAATATACGGACGACTAATCTATGGAAGCCCACCAATTCTACGATTGTTTCCACCCTTGTTCACGTATTCCTTGTGGCTGAGATGAGAAATTGTCCACCTGAGATAAGGTCAATTCACCTGATATGTATTCATACTCAGATATTTCTCAATGCGACCGAAGGTAGTCGAAGGAATACGGTCTCGATCATGTCCAGTCTCTGCTGAAGGATCTGTTGGTGGTGAAAACTGCAAGGACTGGTCCAGTGCCTCTATCGAGTGAGGGAAACTGGTCCCCATCTTTTGCATGGAATGATTAGTGGACTTTATGTTGACCGTGATGCAGATATAAAAAATCCACAACTTTGATTTTTTCTCACCAAATCGTTATCAACTCTTTTAATGTAAATATATACCCTTTCGCACTGAATTATTATTAGTTTGGTTGACTATTGTGCATTCATGCCGTCTACCTGAATTTCTTTTATTATTTCATGAACATTACATAGTTTACGAGAATGGTAGGTAACACATTAATACTTGTGTGAAATGCGTCACAGTCTTAAACCGTCATTGTTTCCTCAATGCATGATCAAGCCTTACGTGAAATGTTACAGTTACATTTAATGAGGTTGCACATGTTATTAGTATTTATCAGTGTTAAGAAGAGTATGGTCGTCGAACAAGAGCTTGTATTGTAATAACGAGATATAACCTGGCAAACTTAGGCCGTATACGTACACGACCTGTATTGATAATCTAGGCACTTCAAGCACACTATGAAATTTATATTCTATTTATTACAAGTAGTCTGTTATTCTTATGTTGCGTATACCAGCACCGTTTATACGAAATATAAATTATTATCAACATTAAACGTTTACTTTGGAGAAGAGTACACCACTCTTCAGCATCTGCCTCAGGAAGGTTGTGATTTCTTATAAGCTACGAAGCTACTAAAGACCTCACGCAATATACTCTCTTTGAACCTGATGTTTTTGTTTAATCTTGGCCAAAATAAGATGCTCAGGCAAATTATTAGCCAAAACCTGGGCCTGTATTCTATGGTTCATATAAACCAAGTGGTATGACTGACGAGCTAACTAGAGTTCATGTCTAGACTACGCTACGTAATATGTTAATGTAAAGAGTAGCGAGAATGCTTTACAGAGAGTCTTGAACTTGAAGAGTTTACCAAAATAGCGATGACCAGTATGCAATTTACAGTGTTATGTGAGCTAATGCTTTCTCACTTCGTTTACCGTCACACCTTCATTCTTAAACGTTTTCATTTCTCATATTCGAATAAATATATAAATAAGGACAGAAATCAACGATAAACGTGAATAAAAATTTAAACTTCGTCTTTAATATCCTTATGAGCGGAAATTTAGTTCTTTTTGTTACTCTAATTGAATACTAGTATAGGCGACTGATGAAGGTCTCTCGTCAAGGTCGTTTGTAGAACGATGCTATTTCCTAGAGGACTCTCTAGTCCAGTATTTTTGCGGCTCTTCAGACGTTCCTTAGGATCAGAAGCATTGAAACCATTCTTTTACCAAGACATACTACAGTTAGAAAAACCTGCTTATGCTGATACGCCATTTAAAAAACTAACAGGTTTGTGTCAATTGCCGTAATTGATATTTATGCATGCGTCTTTCTTCAGGCGATTTCGTCTGCCTCAGTGATTATGGTGATCATAAAGTCCTCCATGTGGACTCAAAAGCACTGACTTTGTTGTCTGAGCAAGCTATGATAGATGTTTCCCATCTACTCAGGCCTGCACATCTTCAGGTTTGCCTTCAATCTATTTGCTGTATATCATTCCTTTTAGTCCCTTTCGAATATACTTAAAGATCCTGAAGCATCTAGTAATGATAAGTTTGTTGCTCTCGAACTTTTAAAAAATGCTAATGTGGCCTCTGGGATGGTTTTACCCGGTTGTCAAGATACAGGCACAGCAATCTGCATGGGTAAAAAGGGACAGTTTGTGTGGACTTATGGCAGTGATGCAGAAGCGATTTCACGGGGCATCTACAACACATACACTTCCAAGAATCTCCGGTACTCCCAAGTATGTAAGTTTTCCTTCTTTTCGTACTTAACATGTGAAGTTTTCGGTTACATTTAAGTTACCATCGCGTTTTAGTTACTGTATAAGTTATGGACAAATCCTTATTGTATTAGGTATATTTTACGTTTAAATGCTCCAACCAGGAAATGGTCTCAACAAAAATGTTTATTTGGTAAACCAATTCACAGTTTGCATGTTAGTCCAGGTATCTACTTTTATCAAGGGGTTCGTATCAAGATCATTTGTATGATCTTACACTATGGATAGAACTTTTGTTGGTAATGGTCGTTTGTGAAGCGTTGGGTAAACTGAATTGTTTGAGAGGGAATAGCTCTAATTAATGTGTAGTTATAGAAGATACGGACGTTTTGTGAAAACTGACTTTTGGTATAAGTGTACATATAAACCATTTGGATTCGTCCACTTGGCTTATACTGTATCTAATTCATGTGGTCTTTTTATTTTGGGGACTCCCAGGCATTAAATCCAGCATGTAGCAAACTATGGAAATCATGATAACTTAGGCATTTTATTTATACTCAAAAGACGTTTCTATTTGTTGTTTTCATTGTCATTATTCTTATCAGTATCCCTTTTGTAATCTAACCCCTGTATATTCTCTTAAAGTGACCCACTGTTATGTGGTTCTTGTCAATTCTTTTTCCTCCTGGTCTTCTGAAAAAAACACTGAAGTTCTATTTTGGTAATTTGATTGATCACGAAATGTCATGAGTCAGAAATCTGACTACCTTTAGTGTGTAGGAATCGCACCTGTGTTTGTTAGTGATTTCAAATTTAAGTCATATATAATGATGTACTTAGGCACTTAGATGATCTATCGAACCCAATCCGTGGAGTTGTAATACACCAATCAAACCCTCATTAATTTCACTGTACCACATCATTTCTTAGTCGTCTCAGATCTTACATCGTCTCAGGGCCTGCAAGAAGTAACGGTATTAAAGCTGTTGTGGTGAAATTTGTGACACACAAGCAAGCCACCTACGCCAGTACCTCAAGGAGGCGTCAATTAATGGAGAACCATCATCTTACGGACGGTGACGCTCGGACACCCTGTCACCGCAAATCATCAGCTCATACAACCTAGGTTTCATTGGCTAAGAACAAGACCATACACCTCAAAGCGTCGAAATGAATTATCTCCATAAATCTTCTCACAGAAGTGCTTAAGTTTATGTTGGCTTACTGTGGAAAAAAAACTATTGAAAAAATCGATGTAATGAAACCGGAATAGATAAAAATGTACTGGAGAAAAAAGATAATGATCAGTGTCGATTTCCAAAATCTAAAAGATGACAAGAAGTAAATGCATTGCTGATTTTTTTGAACCTCATCACCAACAATCTGCAACCATTGGTGCTTAACATTCTGATAACCCTAGACATAATGTGTGACTCAGACCATCAATGGGAGACTTCATGGAATGTTGATACTCATAACCCTTGCAGTTCTGTTCTGTTTGACTTGACATCGCTTGTTAGTAAAAATAGTGACTTGGCATTTCCAACGCGTCCTAGCCATCTCAATCAGTGTGACTTCACAACTTCAACTGACATTCCCCCCTTACTAGACATTATGTGTAGCTTCGTGACCATATCGCACCACCAGAAACAAGAAGTTGGACTCAGATACCTGTTATCGGCAACTACTAGTTTTTTTATGTTTGTCATTGTCAACGGTCATATCTTAGCCGTGAATTTAGGTTGAGCTGAATGCTAACCGAGTGTCACATGGATGCTAAAATTGATCCAAGCGTAACACTCTACATCCGTGTTGAATTTTTGTCAGCAACCAGTCTGTTAGGGGTGGTCCAGCTTCCCAAATAAGTTAAGTGGTCGGCATATTCGACTATTTCACTCCCTGCCTGTAAATTAGTCGGTGCAAACCTGTCCTATGCTATCATTGATATTTGTCAGGGGCTGACCATATGCGAAACACATTTTTGCTCATTTTGTTCAGAAGTTATGATCAATGCATTCTTTTCCAGGTTCAAAACCTATCTGATTTCCGTGGGCTTGTTTTCTTAGAGCTCTATGTAGTTTTATGGGATTGCAAAACCTAGAATGTGTGGCGCTATTGGTTAAGTTGGTTCTTTTCTGCTTATCACTGGAATACTTGTTTCCTTTCTTATAAACTGGGATGACCGGTGATCTACATCACTTCGATGGAACTATCTTGAATTTCCATACACTAGCTATTGGAGTAGTTAGTGTATTCGAAAGTGTATTACAATCCTTAACACATCTGGAGTCAAAGCAGCAGGAAGTGTACACCCCCCCTACGTGGCTTAAACTAATTACTATGGATTTTGTTGACTGATGAGGCCATGTTTTGGTTTGATAACCATTAGCTCTTCTCCAACCTGAGTGGCCCTTTGTCAGCTAACATTGCTCGTCGAGGAAGGCGATGGCTAGACATGCATGTGTAACGTGTCCTAATAATCTCAATTGATGTAACGTCACAGCCCCTCCTTATCTAGCACTCGGCGCGTAACCGCAATATTGCTCACCCTATTATACCACTTCACACGGGAGATAGAATGCAGGCACCTATGATCAAAAACAGATAGTCTTTTCATGTCTTCCACTCTCAATGGCCAGGTCTCACATCCCTAAAGGAGGATGAAGCAGACTGCTGAGGAGTACACACTCCCTTTGGTCGACAGCCAGCCAGATATCACGTCTACGCCAGAGACGGCGTAAACTGAAATTTGCGGAACCAGCCTTCTGTATCCGTTCTGAGATTTCGTCAGTGATCAACCCTTTGAAGCTGATGCAACCTCCCAAATAAGTGAAGTGGTCAACGCGCTCTACCACTTCACTCCTCATTTCTAATCTAGGAGTCAGTGTAGTCCAGTCCTGTAGCATCATCTTACATTTGGCGGGAGAGAATCGCATGCCAAACATACGCAGACTGCAGCCCAAGGTTTTCAGAAGACTGCATTTTGTCAGCGTCTTCACTTAGAAGAACTATATCATCCGCATATTCTAAGTCAACGAGATTATCCCCTGGTAACAAGTCAATCTCTGAGTCACTGAAGTGAGTTAAGGTTAAGTCCATTAATACATCTATGATAAAATTGAAGAGAAATAGGGACAGTGGGCATCCCTGACAGACACCACTGTTCGTCATCACTTCAGATGACATCTCCGTAGGCGCTTACCTACTGGTATGAGTTCGAGTAGAGTGCCTTGATCAGTGCAGTGTATTTTCTATGTGTAAAACTTGGGCACTGTGGTAGTAAGTAATTCCATATTAGTTTGTTTATTAGATGTATCACACAGTGAAACAGTATTATATACGGGATGAAGTTTCGAACAAAAGTCTTGTGATCACAATTGTTATGATTATGAACAATACATTTTGTTCGAAACGTCATCCAGTAAATAATAATGTTTCACTGTGTGATACATCTAATAAGCAGTGTATTTTCCCCTCACGACGAAACATTAAAATAGTACCTCTCGGTCGACGTAATCGAGTGCCGCTTTCAGGTCAACGAATATAACAACTGTAGAAGTGTAAGTTACCGTTCACCAAAACATTCTACCAAATGTCTCAGCTACGGCTTGAGAATTTGTTGGAGTTCTATAATTCTCCGATATCTTTCACTCACCATAACATTTTGAGGACCCGTTACCATTACTGGTATAATTATTCGACGGATATAACCCATATGCGTTCACTATTTTCGCTTTTGTAACCTGCTGTTTGCTGTTTTCGTAAAGGATTTTATGAAGCTGATGTCTGAGCAGCTTTCACTTTTCGTCATGTGTAGAGCTTTCCGTTGTCAGTCTGATAGAATCAGTCAGCTCGACTGCAGCTGCGAAAATCCATTAACTCCCATAAATGATGTGGTACGGCTAAGAGTGCGTAGACTTTAGTCTTACTCTAGAAGTTCTCTCATGTGGCCACGCATTCATAGCCCCTGCTAGGTAAGTCGTATTCACTGCATTAGTGCAGAGAGGTGTATCTTAACGTAGTGAAAGGTTAAATGTGAACCTCTGGCACTTACAACCTAGCTTGTGGACCTGCAGGTTTGCCTAGGGAAGCTAGTAAACCCTGATTCTAAATCTATGGTGTACATGAGCGCCAGAATCCCAAGAGATCGAATGGCTTAGGAACTTGTTTTGGCCGCCGGAAAACATGAAAAAACAGCTGCTGACGCTGTTTCACTGCTTTGTGGATCAGAATTTAAGTCAAAGACTTGGGGGTGACCCTTTAAGACAACCGCATGCTTCGGTCTGGGTGTCCGGGCAGTATTCCTACCGTCACACTAACTGAGATTGTCTGTGGTGCGTCTCTTGGTGCCCACAATGGTCTAAGTTTGTCTTAATATCATTAAAAAGTTTGAGCATTGTGGATTAGATCAAATAAAGTATAATTATATTTCAGTAGTTTATACACAATGATAAGTTTGGCTATTCGTAATATTTCGAGCTAAATTACTGCTCGTGTTCACACCACTCTTGGAATTGTTTTGTTCTAATTTTGTGTTTTAATAATGATAATTTGACGTTTGGCTGCAGGTTGTGAAACGCCATCGAATTTTTCCGCAGCGGACTGACAATATTGCTAGGTTTCTTCAAGACCAGTAATGTCTCCTAACTGGACATGCACTTCATGTTCTCATGTAAGATCTGGATATGTGAATACTTTGAAGTTACTTGTTTGCTACATTCGTCCATGCAGGAGAATACAAGTTGTTGGACTGGTGCATAATTGGAGTTCATGTAGGTATTTCGTGGTGAGCGACAGTCTTCCACTCACTCTCACCATCGACAACTCAGGCGAGTGGTCTACTTGTGCCCATTCTTTACCTGATGTTGGCATTCGTTAGGTGTTTGAAATTAGTGCCGGTCAGGAGCAGCAGCATTCGTCTAATTGTGAAGACTGAAGTATATTCTGTTCTTCGTGTGAAGCTGTTCTCCACATATATGAGAATGTTTTCTCATTTTGTGTATGTTTTGTTGTCCTGTTTCAGTGATAAACCTGTTACTTTGTGATAATGCTAACTATAGAACTCGCTTATTTCTTCAGTGGAACATACAGAAAACCAGCTTATAGTGTACTGCCAGTGTCTTTTCAAATGAGAAGAAAAATGTACAGGACGAACAATTTTTAGTTAACTGCTGAGATGTGAGGTAATTAGTTAAAAGTTGCTCATTAATGTTAGACTGTTGTTCTCCTATGAAACTTTAAGATTGAAAAATACCTATCTTTCGTGTCACTAATTAGTTAAGTCAGGGACCAGGTATTCTTCGTAAACAACTTTTGCATATTACTGGCCTATTCGAATGTTATTTTGCTGGAAATTGTGGAGATGTGGCTCATTGGCTTAAGCATTTAGCTTGCAGCCGACAGGTCTCGGGTTTGAATCCCTCCCCACTTACTTCGGCATGGGCGATTGTGTAGTATCACCAACCCTCACAGGACAAGTGCGGCTCATAGTCTGGTGTGTAAATGTCTGGACCGGGCAATTGGGTTCCTGAAAATTCCAAATTTATACTGACTTACCAAATCACCGGTGAGTTTTTGAAACTGTTGATCAGCAGGCAAAAAGTAATAGTGTCACTGGAATTCATAATATGAATTATGGCATACGTTTTTAGACATCTTTAATCATCACACTTTTAGTACATTGAACATTCTTAATTATGACCAGTTAACAATATATTATAATTTTCAGTAAAATTTTCCTGCGTTTCATTAGGTTGCACCACTGGACATTTTTACTGAAAAAAATACTGGAACTAATTTGCCAGCACAAATAGAAATATATTCAACTGATGGAAACGAGTACAACTTTCTATTCATTGCAAAAGGTGGTGGATCTGCTAACAAAACCTTCTTGTATCAGCAAACTAAGGCTCTTCTTAACGAAAATAGCCTTTATTCATTTATTAATGAAAAGATCAAGGTAAGCAAAAATATACCGTTAATAATTTTTTTTATAGACATTAGGAACTGCAGCTTGTCCACCGTATCATTTAGCTGTTGTTATTGGTGGGACGTCAGCTGAATTCACTTTGAAAACTGTTAAATTAGCATCGTGCAAATATTTGGATCATCTACCTTCCACAGGTTGGTATTCATTCTTTAGTTCATTGTTTCATGCTGGTGATTTCAAAAGTTAGCCACCGCAAATAGTTTTTTTAGTAGTACTAATAATAGTAACTACAATATATCATAGCAGTTAGCTATACATACATATATATATATATATATATATATATATGCGTCGGTGGCACAGCAGTTAGGACGCTCGTCGACCATGCACATGGTCCGGGGTTCGATCCTCGGCCGACGCAATCCTTTAACTCGCTAAGCCAGAAATAATGCTGGTAAAGAGGAAAGGTTGGGCATGAGTCTAGCGACCCCATCCTGTAAAAATAAACACTGCTACAGTAACTTCAAGCTACTAGCTTGAAGCCCTGTGTTCCAGTGGGAACGTGAAGGAAAACAAATATATATATATATATATATATATATATATATATATATATATATAATTCCCTTGAATTCCGAATGGAACATGGAGCTTCAACAACACATCTCCACTTTGTTCTGTTTTCTACTGTCTTCTTCAGCTGGGCCGGAGACTGCCCATAATATCTTATCTCCCCACACGACTTTCTTTGTGTCACCCTTGGAGGACGCAATCGTCGTTTCCTGTATGGATTCCACTCGATCGATGGCCTCGCGTGCTATGTCATCCGACGGACTCCTCCTCCATTATCTTCTACATATTTGTTGAACGATAGGTTCTTGGTTGGTTTATTGCCAGAGTTTCTCGTTTCTGGCCAGCCGTTTGATCTTCAGTATGGAGCAAAGTGGGGGATGGTGCAGCTGTTGATAAAAGCCTGTAACTTGTTGGAAATCCTTTCCGTTACATGCGAAGTTTCTGGCCCATATAAAAGAACTGACTTAATATTGGTGTTGAAAATAAGTATCTTGTTCTTTATGCTGAGTGTAGAAGATTTCCAAACTAATTTCCGATTGACGAAGCTGTACGCTGCTTTTCCGATTCTGGCTGGATTTGACATCAACCGTTCCGCTGGTGGTTGAAACGATGCTTTCTAGATAAGTGAAGGAAGTGACACCTTTCAAATTTCCCCCACTGATAGTGATTGCTGCTGGTTGTTGTTGCTGTCACCTCCATCCTCTTTATGTTCTCCTGGAGTCCTGTCTTCGCTGCTTGTTCAGCCACTTTCAAATTCAAACCTATTTAGAAGAATTCAGTCTTAAGTTTACATATTGGAAATCTAATCTGCAGTAGATTTAGAAAAAATTATCGAGTCCTTAGCTTTTAGGCTCAAATTTACGCATTTATACTTTCCTTCATAAATTACTCTTGATGCTATATATGCTAATTGATTGATATGAGTAATTGCATGCCACTCATACCAACCAGTAGTACTTGCTAGCTGAAAACCGGACGGCTGTTTCGCTCTCTTGGTGGTGTGGAGCTCATCAGCAGTATCCCCGATTTGATTCAGCTGATGGATCCGAATCAGTTCAAACCACTCCATTTCTGGCTAGCCACTTGATCGAACAGATGGTACCATTATTCTTCTTCTTATATGATAGAAGTGAAAGCAAGTTCATCTGTTATATGTGTGATACTTAAGGTAACTTCTGCATGATTGTTTACGCAATGTTATTTGCACATGATACTTTCAACAGTGTATTGTTGCCATTTCATTATCTTATCCTAAATATTTTGAATTCCTTAATAAAACACTTTATGTTGATTCCAGGTAATGAGCATGGAAGGGCTTTTCGTGATCTTGAAGCTGAAAAAAAAGTATTGGAACTGACTCAAAAGGTTGGAATTGGAGCTCAATTCGGCGGGAAATACTTTTGTCATGACGTACGAGTCATTCGCTTGCCTAGGCATGGAGCATCATGTCCTGTGGGGATTGGTGTCTCATGTTCTGCTGATAGACAAGTAAATAACGCCTTCCTATTTATAGATTATTTTGCACTAAATTTATTTCGCGTAAATTGTAGCTTGGCCCGTTTAGGCAGTTTGCTTTTAATGATTACTTCGTGTTTAAAGCATATTCTGTCTTTCGAGATTTAATCATTCAGCATAATATTGTCTAATTTCACGCATTATTTATTATTCATAGCTTAATAATGTATGTGCGTGCTTAATTTCTTATTACTGTTGTTATTATACTTGCACGCTTCATTTAGTCTTGATCAAGAAGGGTCATTAAATATATAGATTACTTTAGGTAAGAATTGCAGTTTATGTTTAGTTTTTTTCATAGTATCTTATATCTAATAAATATGAGTATTTACAGTAGGTGTTACCCATCCTGTATGCTTTTTCAATATATTATAGTTTCTTGTATAGGCCTTAATATACACTAGTGAGATCTTCAGGGCACGGATGAGGATGTCAAAAGCAGGATAGAGAAAGCAAGATAAATCTTCCTTAATCTGAAATCAGTGTGGAGGTCTGTTGCATTCAGCGTAGAGGACAGGATTCAGATTTTCAACGCTTATATCAAATTACTGCTTCTGAGTGGGTCAGAGACTTCGCGCGTCACGAATAGCATTTCTAAGGGGCTTCCGGCTTGCATCACCGGATGTCTTTGCTGCCAATCAAGAACCTGTTGCTCACAGAATATGCGGAAGGAAACAGGAGTGTATTAGACATATGTTGAGGTCGATGAGTGACGTTGCCGCGCCAGGTCCTCGAGTAGAACTGCAATTGTTAAGTGGTGAGTTGGGTGGGGTGGGATTCGAGAGTGACACAGAGAAGATCGTGTGAGATTTAGACTTACGGGCAATCTTGGAGATGCAGAGAACAGGATAACATTGAAATGTCCTGTTGAAATCATATGTTTCACTCGGAAGCTAGGAGAAAACGAAATTGAAATATTTTCGGATTCATAAATTGTCTTTATATGAAGTAGAACCTAGTCATCGTAAGATTTACTCTCAGGAAATTATTCTTACTTGATTCATTAATAGTTGTTTCTAAAATCTAAGCCACGCATTAACGTATACGAGTTTTGCTTTTTATCAGCTGGTAACATTTTATGGAGTTAAGCCTGATTGTTATTTACTTAACTGAAGACCCAGCAGTAGTTTGAATACTTAATATTGGAGGGCTATTATATTAACTCTGCGGGTGATGCAAATCTATTGCCAGTTGTCTAAGTAGCTTGTTGAAAGAGCCTGATATTTCTTCTTCTTTGAGTGATATCATTTCAGATTACTGAGGTAAAGTTGCTTTTATCAAAGTTTTAGGTGTGACCAGATAGGGGGTGCTAATAAACAAGAAGCTCATTACCGATGAACTGTTAACATCTAAAAAGGCAGATTAATAAGTACATGTATACTTAGTTTTAAAGACGTCAGAAACGGTGTAATCTAACGTGTCATGACTAGTAAGTTGTACCACGTGCATTGTACGATCGATCGATAATCACTATATCATGTTTCCTGATATGGTGAGTAGTTTGTCGCTTCCTGACAGCTCATAAAAATTCTCTCTGTTTTATCGTTCATGAACTGAAGCTTCTGGAACTATTGTAGCTAGGTTTTGGAGCTTTTGCTTTTAAGAATACCACTTCTTACACGTGTTTCTCAGTGTGAACATTTTCCCTGTTCTCTGTAAGTTTATATGTATATGTATATATTGTGATGGAGAGTCCATTTTCTTAGATTTTAGGTAGAATAACAAAAGACGGAGTATTTCTTGAACAATTAGAAACAGATCCATCTCAATATTTACCTGATCCATCTCTTGAGCATCTTCCTACAGATGTTGTAAAAGTGGATTTAAATCGTCCTATGAAAGAAATTTTAGCTGATCTTTCTAAGTATCCAATCAGAACTCGTTTATCGCTAACTGGTACATTGGTTGTTGCTCGTGATATTGCACATGCAAAAATCAAGGTTAGTATGGCAGATACAGATTATTTTATCATGTTCCCTTATGTTTTCTCATTGTGTCTTTTTTTGAACAAGATTTATAAATCTTGTTCTTCTTGCTATGATGATAAAATAAAATAAATACCAGGAGTTTATTTCATCATTGACTTAAAAATGGACTTCCATTACAAATTGATCTCAGCTAAGGGACGTTTGATTGAAAGCCAGGGGGCACTAGATAGCTGTTTCATTCTGATCTGGGAGTCTCCAGCAGTGTACACCCAGAGATCAGGCACAGGACCTTTGGGTTGTAAAATGAACACTCTGTCGCTTAGCCACTTAGAATAAAATGGTCAATGAAACTTGAGTACCGTTCAGTTGTTTTATGTGACCAATAGGGTACAGCAGGTCGGGTGTAAAGACAAATACACGCCGATGACATCTGCTAGTGGCTGCGCTACATATACCATGAATCGGCAGAAGTTGGAATTCATGGGCTGGCCATTTGGTCGGCTCCTAGTGGCGAAATGGTCGATGAGCTCGCCTTGTAACCAGAAGGTCCTGGGCTCGAACCCCGGTGGGCGCGTACTGATGAAGATTCTCAAACTAGGATGAAACAGCCTTTTAGTACTCCCTGCAGGTTTTCCAGTGGTTCCTTAACTTATGTCAGCTCATGATGAAATCCTCCATGCAATCAAACAAAATCCCTACAAAACCAATACCTGAGAATAAACCAATGGTAATTAAAGTTACCTTATCTAATCGCCAGTACAGATTAAAGTCTATTGTGGTTTCTTGAGAAAATGATCATTTCGATAAAGTAAGAAATACCAAATTTGTATTATAAGACGAAGTCATTCTGCACCTGAGGAGGGTCTGTGAGATAGAATGATGTCATCTTACACTGCCGATTCGGCCTTTCTTGCTGTATCTAAGCTTATCAAGAAAATGACTATTGTTCACCGATAGACTCATGTGAGAAATTTCAAGCATAGTAGTCCTTAATAAGCATCGCAACGTTAAGCACCTTTACTAAATCCTTCGATCTGCGAAAATCGAATAAAATTCAGGAAACATAAAATAGAAGTTTTGATGAAGTATTTTAAGTATATGTGTCGTTCTTCGCTGTAGAGGTAGTTATTATGTAAGTAAGTTCACGTGTTAGTTTGCTTTGTCCATACCGTCTGATTCGGTTATTTGACACATTTTTATCTAACAGCAGAAGAAAGGATATGTAGGAACATTAAACTATAGATTCTAGCAATTTTTTTAAAAAACAAAATTTATTCAGTTTGTTTTCTATTCACCTACAAAGGAACGTCTTGATTCCGGTCAACCAATGCCTGATTATCTATGCAATCATCCCGTGTATTATGCTGGTCCAGCGAAAACACCTACAAATTATGCCAGTGGATCATTTGGGCCAACTACAGCCGGTCGTATGGATTCTTACGTTGATCAGTTCCAGAAAGCTGGTGGTAGTATGATAATGCTAGCCAAGGGTAACAGGTCGAAATCTGTAAGTCACTTATGCTTGAGGGTAGATAAATTTATGTTATGTAACATAGTGATACAGTATCGATAACTGGATGACATTTTTCGAGAGCAATTTATCGCTCATAATCATATGAGCACTTCTTAGCGGTCAGTTTATAGGTGGAACGAAATTGCTTTTCACCTCTTCCACTGAAACAGTTTTTTCCAATCTTGATTAGATTTATTACCATTAATGTCGTAATCGTCATGACTAATAACAGTTAGTCACTCTATTATCAGATTTTATGAATATATCAGGTTATATTTTGAAGGCATGAACAGTAAGACTCCCTTCCCGGCCGACAACTGCTACCTTGTCTTGGTGGTCAGGCTTGAATACCGCAGTGACCCAATAAGCTACACTGACTGGGATTTATGTTCCTTCAGGTCCTACTATGCCAGGAAGGTTTTTCGGATGACGGTTAGACCAAAAGCAGTTACTATGGTGTACATAGGCTCCAGAATTCAAACGGATCGAATAGCGTACGAACCTGAATTGGTCACTAGCAACCAGGGGGACGTTGCTCCTGGCGCCTCTCCTCTGCCTTTTGGATCAGACTCCAAGTCAAAGGCTTGTGGGGCGGTCCCTTAAGACAACCACCTGCTTCGGTTTGTGCGCTCGGGCAACATCTCAACCGTCGCATTAATAATGAAACAGGAAATAATAAGGAAAATTAATCACACGCTCATTCCCATGCTCACGAGCAATGATGGTGTTTTTGGCAACACCGTTTCTTTTTAACCCCATTTTTGTACACAAACTTTTATATCTTATTTTTAATATCCTCGGTGTCTTCACTTTCGTCAACCTTTCGCCTTTGTCTGAATTCTCAGCCTATCTGTGCTGTTTCGAAATGTCAGTGAGTAGCCTTCGAAATGGTTTTCCCCAGTGCGATAACTAACACGGATATCACGAAAACACGTGCCGCGTTCGAGCTAGCCACCTGCAATGTTCGGACACTGATACAAATCGGACAATAGACGTATCTGGGAAGCCTCACTATCGATGTTTGCTGCAGTTCAGAGGCCCGCATTAAAAATCTCAGTGAGGTACCTCGAATGTCTTCTCCATTTTGAAGTTCGAATGGTGTATACCACTTGCGCTTATCCGGGGACTCTTTGGCGTCAGTATCCAGTGTAACTGGTGCCGCACTAAGCGCTGGAGTCGAAGCTGCATTACCCGACTGGATGCCCATTATATGAGAGTAAGAAGGTGTAGGTCAGGTAGGCGGTGTCTGTTTGTTGTTTCTGCCTATGCACCGACGGATTGCAGCCCGGATGCAATTAAGGGTCAGTTTTACCACCAACTGAGTGTCGTCGTGAAACAGGCGCGTCAGAGAGATATCGTAGTGGTGGCTGAGGAATTGGATGTACAGGTCAGGCATCCAGACTCAGAGGAGACTTGTCTAGGTGGTCAGTGGGGAAAACGTGGTTGCAGGTCAGATAATGGAGACCGTCATCTGCAGCTTTGCGCGCATCACAACCTATTTCTAGCTAGCACTAACTTCTGGCACAGCCATAGCCGTAGCTCTACCTGTCATGCTCTATCTGCTAATCAAGCCTGGACTCAGGTTGATCATGTTACTGTCAGTTTCCGATGGCGAGGACGCATACAAGACTGCCACTCCTTCTGGAACACATGACTGGACTCCGGTCATGCTTCAGTATGTGCCAGGTTTGTCTTGAGATTTGGTGGGATTAATAAACGGCGTCATCTACATGTTGATGTGAGCACACTGACAGCACCTCTTACTTCTTTGAAATACCAGAATGAGTTACAATCCATACTTGCCATTAACTCTCCAACTAGTATGTATGAGCATCGGCTACATCTGCAAGGCGCCATGCGAACGGCGAGTGAAGCCGCAGGCAACTTAAAAGAATGCTCCGCTAAAAACCACTGTGTTTCTGCGAGTTCCTTGCAGCTCTTGGGTGAACGCCAGTCCATCCTGGCAGGTAGCGAGAACAGCAACATGCGAAAGACGCTTACGCGCAAGGCTAAACAGTATTTACGTAAAAACCGCGTAGTCTGGTGGTCAGAACGTGCGTGTGAGATGGAGTCAGCAGCTGCGTCTGCGACAGTCGGAAGCTGTTCCAGCTCACTCTAGCCACCGTCTGCGAAAAACAAGGTGTCAGTGAGACAGTCTGGGAGACGGATGGCACGCCAGTTACCAGCCTGAAAAGACGCCCGGAACGCTGGGCAGAACACTTCGAGAAGCAGTTTAGCTGGCCACAATCGTCACCATCCACCGCTATCGGCTACAATGCTCCTTGGTCGGTCATTACTGACCCACCAATCAAAACGGAGGCCCGAAAAGAGCTCCAAGTGTTGAAGCGCTATAAGGCATCTGGCCCAGATAATTTACCCCCGACTCGCTTTAAATATGGTGGCGAGATTCTTGTCATGGCTTTGAGCGCTTTGTTCAGCAAAGTATGGGAAATTGAGGATGTGCCATCAGTGTAGAATGAAGCTGTCATCGTCTTCATCTTTAAAAAGCGTCGACGTGATTCATGTGACAACCATAGGGGTATCACTCTGCGACCAGGTGCGTCTAAAATATTGGCTGCTGTCTTGCTCCGCAGGCTGTGCAAAACACGTGAAAGGTTGATTAGCGAAGAGCAGGCTGGGTTTCGTTCAGGTCGTGGATGCATTGATCATGTGTTCACCCTTCATCAATTATTGGAACACCGCCACACGTATTGCAGACCAACAATCATTGTGTTTTTTGATATTACGGCTGCTTTTTATTCGTTGGATAGAACTCTTCACTGGAACTGTCTGTGTGAAGTTTGTGAACATCCTGAAAGTTCTATACAGAAATACCTCAGGTAGAGTAAGGGCATACAACCAACTATCTTCACTGTTCCCAACCAACGGTGGTGTTAGACAGAGTTTCCCAATCTCTTTATTTCTCTTCAACCTTGCCATCAATGACATTCTGGATTCAGCTCTGAAGGACGTGCGTAATGGTGGTGTAGATCTGCTTCTTGGAGATATACTTTTCGACCTTGAGTATGCAGACGATATCCCCTTACTGTGCGATAGCATGTAGGCTGCCCAATTTTCATTTAATCAGTTGCGATCAGTGTCTGTAAGTATGGTATGTGTTTTGTACCGTCTAAGTGAAAAGTACTGTTACAAGATTGGGAAGAGCCTGTACCTGTACTCACTCTAGCAGATGGACTGCGTGAATTTGTTGATAAATTTGTTTATCTGGGTAGTTGTGTGATTGTTGGCGGTGGTGTGACGAACGAGATTCCCAGCCGTATCATGAAAGCTAGGATGACATACGTTAACTTGAGTCACCTCTGATACAGTAGTGACGTTACCGTGGCTGTCAAAGGTCGGGCATACAATGTTTCGGTGCGTTCTGTCTTGCTCTACTCCTGTGAGACCTGGCCTCTCCGAACCGAGGGTGTGCGGCGACTTCGCGTATCCGATCGTAGCTGTCTCCGTAGAATTGCTTGCGTTCGTTGGTATTTTCGTGTGAGTAATTCTGAGGTCCGACAGTGGAGATCACCGTTCTTTAAGTGTCATCATCCGAGAACACCGTACCCGTCTCTGTTTGCTAACGCTGGGACGGAATAAAAGAAGCGGACAGGTGGATAGGCAATGATGTGGCGTCGTGGGATGAAGGATGTTTGTGGTAGGTTAGCATCGACTGGTGTTTCACAACTCGCTGGTTGAGGTGGGAGAGTTGGCTCGAAACGTTATTGGATATGTCCAAGAATCGCAATCACTGGTGAATGTGCTGCAATTTTTTTCTTTCTTCCCTTTCTGAAAGTAAATAAAATAAAGAAATGTGACTGCTTTCTTCCTAGGGGAAGTCCTTTATTCATTCCCATTCTTTTTTCATATGTTGTTTTATAATTTTTGTGTGGCGCATTTTCCTAGAGATATATTGTACTACGTTTTATGCTTTATATAAAATAAGAAGACTGCATTGTTCATGTGTGAAAACTGATATTCTCTTAAGTAGTTGATAAAATATCGTATTTTATTACAAGCAAATAAACTTAAGGAAGTGCAAACTGTAAGTTTACGGGCTCATCATTAGTGAGGTCAGAAGAAGGTGTACGCTTGACGGTCTTCCACTTTTAAGCAGTGGTAAACTACGTCAAAACATTTGCAGAGGATTACGTGCTCTGTTTATTTCATGGATTCTCTTCAACTGCGTACTTCCTAAATAAGCTACAAAATTGCTGAACTTACTTTTTACAATGACTTCAATTTACAGATAGAAAAGTGACATAATTTCAAAGATGATCTAAGTAGACAATTATTTAGTGTTGAAAGAGTAACTGTTTATATATTAATTAGACAATGTGGTGGAGTTCAGATTTCGCTTAGAAACAAGGATGAACTAAAGACAAAATACAAGATTGAACAACAGATTTAATTTATGCATATTATTGTGGAGAGTTCAGGAGGGTAGGGGTAAATAGTGAAGTAAAATTGTAAAATAGATAAAATAATTCAATTTAGTAGATTCGGTCAAACCAAAACATGGCACAAGTCAATGAAATCCACAACAGTTAGTTTAAGCCACGTAGGAAGGTGTAGACTACCTGACTGGTTGGGGTCCTCGGGACGGTAAAAACCAATGGTTGGAAACAATTGGTGATATGGCTCAAAATCCTTCTCAATGGCTGGCGCAGATGCATCCACTCCTTGTGACTTCCAATGAAACTATATTGTTCTTCATTATTACTATTCATTTGTCTCACACCTCTGTTTACTGTCTCTATTATGCATTTCTTCTACTTTCTTCTCTTGCTTTGTGTGTTACAAAGAGGGAATGTGGCGACTTGAACTGCCGCACATCGGTGAAAAGATATATGTCGAAAACAGACAGACAGGCAGTAGATAGTGAGTTTAACTCAGTAAGTAAAAATCATAATCTATATTGAGTGGAGTGTTGTGCAACAGAACAAAACAGAAAAGCACTTGAACAGAACAATCATGGTTACCAGGGTAGTGAGAGATTAGTCACCCTCTCTTTTTATATGCATAGGTTGGGTTGAAGTCTTTTGATGACAATGGCTTCTAAGAACCGAAGTAACCATGGTTTTCTTGGTGTATTGATTATTTTGACAGTCTGACTAATTTCCACTGTATGTCACACGTTCCTTCTTTTATTATAAGGGGAACTGACTGTATGAAATTCCTATGTCAAAGCAGTTGCCTTTTGTTTTTTACACTTAGTTGCCTTTATTTTATCAGGTGTGTAGCTAAGATGTGTAACTTCTTTTCCTTGTAGTTGTTTTTATTCAAGATTCTTTGCGTACCCAAGGTGTGTGTGTGAACATATGAGTGCAAACTTCACCGGAAGTGCTTTAGTATTCAACGTAGAACATTGTATAGAATTGCAGCAGTTCAAGTTGCCACACTCCGTATACTACACAAAGCAGGAGAAAACATCCAAAGGAACTATAATGAAGGGAAACGTATAGGAGGCAGAATAATTATGCAGTGAGTCATGAGGACTTCTGAATCTGGGATATTACAAAGACTGGATGCTTGTGCACCGCTGAGAACGATTTTAAGCTATGCCATCAATAGTCTCCGGTCATTAAATCGTTATCCAAACGACCTTTTTGACCTATAGAAACATTCTTTCCAACTTGTGTAGCTCTCCGGGTCATTGGGATATACAGACTCGACCACCACATTAAGGTAGCAACTATCGATCGGTTGCAAACTTCAGACTACATGTTAGTGGACATCACTTTTTGTATTACAGTTTTTTGATTCAGTATAAATTCATTCTAGTTCTTGTTTTCATGTTTCCATACTTTTCAGGTAACGAATGCTTGTAAAAAACATGGTGGCTTTTATCTGGGCTCAATTGGTGGACCAGCTGCAATTCTTGCTCAAAATTGTATAAAAAAAGTTGAAGTTCTTGAATATCCGGAATTAGGTATGTTGAATTTTTTTTCACAGAACGAGTTCTCATTGATCATTGTCGATTCTAACCACGTCGAATTAGCTATGGCTCTAGATATGTAGCCCGAATTGTATGGACGATAGGGTTAGTGATATAGGCACTGCACTGTTGCTTTCCTAATTTATTGACATTTAAGTTATTTCACAATCAATGTACACCATGAGGTAAGCATAGAGTTTTATGTTTTGCACTGTGTAGGCACTTGAAAGTCTCACGTAAAAGCAGTACCTTGGAGACGCAGGTGATCCGACACACAGTGTCAATAAACATTCCTAACCAGTGAGAGTACATGAAAGTGCAAGTTCTTGACAATCTTACAAAGCATTTTCTTTGCTCGATATAACGTTAGTTGTGTCCTCTCACTGTGATTACTACCACCGTGTTTTTGTATCGTGTTGTAAAATTATCCCAACATTTAAAGTTGTTCCGATGCTTTTATCTATACGATTGCTTAGTATCGGCGAATACACATTTTTTTTGAATGACTTATTCGATTGCTTAAAGTATATTATTTTCTTTAAAATATCTTGGTGAATTCATTTTTAGGCATGGAGGCGATTTGGCGTGTTGAAGTTGTCGATTTTCCGGCTTTCATTGTTGTCGATGATAAAGGCAATGATTTCTTCAAGGAGTGGCAAGTAGAATAGATGCCGCATTGAGTAGTATGATAGCTTTTTATCTTATGATAAAAGGTGCTTGTTAACCATTTCTTACTTTGTTTTTAAAAAAAAAACTACTTATCATTCACATAGTTTACCCATTTTTGTTAGCTCAGATGTGTTCCAGTGTTTGGATTTTTCGTATGCGCAACTTTCGATTGACTTCGTTTATTTGATATTTCTTATTTCAGATTACTGAATTTCTTTGACAGTGCCATTTACTTACGTTTATTAAAGAAATTTGGTGTACATATACACACGAAGTTTCATATGAAAGTAATAATTTTCACGAAAAATGAATAAAATTTTTATTGGCTTCTGTATACTTGTACTCCTTTAATTGTTAATTTAATTTTTTATTCATAAATAATCTGTTAATTAATAAGACTGTTCATTTTTATCGTATTATTTGCTTTTTGTTAGTTACAAAGCATACCTTGTCATCAGTTTCTGTTTTGTGATATATCAGACATTCTCTTGTTAGAATTTATTTGGTGGATGGTGACTAGCAGTGGAATCCAGGACGTGCATTTCGTCCTATTTGGGACTCGTCATCTGGATGTACCTGCATTTCTCAGTGAGTGATGATGTTCCTACCGGGCTCGAACCCAGTTCCCAGAGTTTCAAACGCCAAAGTGTTATCCACTGGACCACTTGGGCCACGAGAACCACCTCTTGTGCAACGGGTCATATTAATTATTTAATTGAATTTTAGATTCTCCCGTCGATTGATTGGACCGAAGTGCTCGGTCTCAGGTTGACATCTGCACTAGAAGCCAACATGTCAACCTGAGACCGAGCACTTCGGTTCAATCAATCGACGAGAAAGCCTCAAATTCAATTAAATTCTTTTGTTAGAATCAGAAAACAAAACGGAATGAAAATGATAGGTGACATTTGAGAGAGGTTAACTGTGAAATCCTTACGGAATCCAAGGAGCACTGATTTCTGTTTCCTAAATATGTATTCCTTCAGACAGATAATTGCCACGTGACTGGTTTGCCTGCATATTCCAACAACTCAACAAGCTAAACTGGCTGGAACGAATGTTTCTGCAAGTCCTGCCATTCCAGAAACATTACTTGGAAAATGGTTGAACTAAAAAACAGTTACCATCGTAGTGTAATTCACTCACAATATTTTGTGAGTCTGTAGGATAAGTCCTGCTGCTGATAAGTAGTGAGTAACAGCAGTAGGGTGTTTTCTTAGGACGACTAGAAAGCTGGTTATCCCATCTATCCACTCTGAGGATGAAGATTGGAAAAGGTCAACCCTCAATATATTGTGTATTCTAACTTACCTTGGTGTGGTTTGTGGCCAGCGGAAAAAGAAATCGTGTGGAAACACCCCTAAAAGCCGATACAAACAGACCATGTGTGATCGGCGTCAAGCAGATTTTCCCCAGGCTCTGTGGTCATGCAACACCAACACTCCTATTTTCGATTTTTCAAGAAGAAATCAACTTTCACTCTGTGGGTAGCCGAGAAAAAGTAATCTACCGTAAACATCCATAAGCATACAAAACTTTCTTAACTATCGCCCATCATTCTTTTTCCTTCCACTAGTAATACCCTTTCATATCACCTTTTCATAACTGTGTAACCATTGATGGTGACCATAGCCGGAGGAACACTACTGATAGTTCCTTAAAATTCCACTAACAAATTCATATTAGAGCATTCAACGACGTGAGTCTTTGGTAAGTAGGGCAATAGGCCTCCATATCTGTAACTGCGTCAGCCCGAGCCATGAATATATATATATATATATTCTGTTTCGGAGACAAGCATACAAGCGTGACTATCTACTTTACCCCGCCAGGCCAACATGATGAATCTACGAAAGTCACCCTGCATGAGTCAGGAGATTCTCCGTCTAATTCACACGGACTTGCTGGTGTAGGGATGGCTTTGAAAACTAGAGCAGAAAAATCCTTGACTGATTGTGTTTCAGTGGATATTCGTGTGTATGCTATCCGACTGAATGGATCCTCTAGAAGAAGGAGTGTCTGTGATACCTCTAGGTGACTTTTCATGATATATGTTTACTTCACCGACTACTTATCACAGTTCGGATGAGGTAAAGAATAATTTCTATCAAAAGCTATGTAGTTTTCATAATCCTCAGATACAGTCGTTGTATAAGATGACTTCAGTGCTGAAATAGTTGTTTTGTGTGAGTAAGCATTTTGGTGGTACCTGTGAAGTTTCATGTCGAAGAACTGACAATGGTGGTCGTTTATTTCAAAGTTCAGTCTATTTAATCATCTGTTCATCATCGGCACTAACTACATAAGTCAGAACAGTCATTGATTAACCTGGCGACTTCCATTATCCAGTGAGCGACTGATTCAAACAGGTCATGTACCTATAAAGTGTCGGTGGCATAGCGGTTAGGATGCTCGCTGACCATGCACATTGTCTGTAGTTCGATCCCTGGCCGACGCACACCTGAGACTAATGGTCGGCCTGCTAAATTTGGGCTACCGATATCACATGCTGAACATTTTATACTTGTATCAAAGGTACTGTGTGGAGTCAAGTTACAATAAAAAAAATTAATAAAAAATAAAGAGGGTTGACCGAAGCCTAGTTTTCCTTCCTGAACACCTGCGTAGACTGTGCCCACGTTCTAGTCAGTGCATGTATATGCCTACTGTGGTGAGGGCAGGCTGCTAGCCAAATTGGTAGACAATTATTTACGTCAATCTTTATGTCGCAAATATTGGTCATTAAAAAATATGAACAAGACTGATTCAACAACCAATCACAGCAGACTTTGCGCAGGCAGATACACTTAACATATAAATAATCTGACTTTCAAGAAACAGTCACAAAGAGATGCTAGGTCAACTTTGTGTGAGAAACAACCAATCAGAAGACTGTGTTTGTTTGCTTGAATAAGCCATAATAATGTACATGAAAATATATAATACGTGCTGATTTTCTTAATAAACGATCCGTTGCCTTGCCCTTATCTTCTGTTGTTACACTACGAATGCACATATATATGAAACAGATTGCTATGAAGCCGATATGCCCTCGACTTGATGGGAACGTTATCTTTTTTAGTGAAGAAATAACTCAACGCCTATGTGAGATTTACAGCAAGACTCATCCTACTGAAGTCCGGTGTAATATCTAGTCTATAATGAAACGACTTCCGTTGCTTCATCCTAACTGGTAGCCATAAGAAGACTGATCCTGAGAGGCTTCGAACATGGCAGGGAGCTAAGGTTGCTCAAATTTAGGTTGACTGAAAGTTTTTTCAATGGCAGCGAAGGGTGGCGGGCAGTGAAAGTGATATAGAGATAGTAAAGGCGTTGGCGGCAGCTGACATCAGACAACTGTTAAGCCTGATAAGGGCGACGGATTGTAAAGTACCAATGATAAGCGTAACTTTTTCCGAGAAGAACGGAATTTCGGTTACCTTTGAGGATAGACGACTTTAACATTGGAGGCAACACTTTGAAGTTTTACTGTAATAAACATATTTCATCCAGCAGTACTTATTTCATACTACCATATTATTTATTATTTACTATAGTGTTATTGTAACTGCTGAGATCCTGGAGCTAATTTTGTATTTGCGCACTAAGACTGTTTATATCCATCTATTGTACTTTTGGGCCATCATATTTCTATTCATCAGCGTTCATCTTCCACGTGAAGAAGCAAAACTTTTCGGAATATCAAGAGTGACACAAACAATCTGTCTGAAATTATATTCACATTGAATCTAAAAACTGATATAATGTCTACAGTGAGCCAGCGAAATACGACTTTTTCTTAACGATTCTAACAATTTATTAATTCTACTTTTTTGCATATTCTTTTGTGATACCTGGAGAAAATTTGGTTTCAATAGCATAAGTTTAAAGCAGTTGTTGTTTGAAACCAAATGGGCACTTAAAAACAACTAATTTTAAGAGTTGTGAAGATCAGTACTCACTGAAAGTTGAGATCAAAACTAGTCAATTGGTTGGGGTCGGAATTGATGAGCTTGTTGAGTGTGTTACTGATAAGAGTTATCATTAGTATACACAAAGATGCTTATCGGTATAAAAACATCAAATAGCAGGGAGATAGAGTTGATGTCAGAGAAAGCAAATGATACAGCGTTGTGGAGATACATGGGGGACGTGAAAAGAACACAAAGAGAGACAATGTGAAGGCCAGAAGTATGACAAAACAGGTGATCTGTGCATATGGTGATTTGCAGATAAGGTGTATATAATTTCGCTACCAGTTTCCATATGAACATTCCTTTACCAAGTCTCTCGTCTTCTACTGTTACAAGCATATTGTCTTAAGTTAGTTGGTCACACTTTCAGCATTTGAAACTTAGAGTGATGCCGAACATACATCATTAGTTTTTTTCACCAGACACGTGGAGAGGAATCTGGAAATCAGCTATTAAGGTAGGTCCCAATCGGGGGACAGTTATGTAGTGCATAAATAGAGTCAAACAGCTTTTTACTATCACCCCATGGTGTGGAAAACGAAACAACTCGAAAACCCTCTACTTTGATCTCACTGTTAGTGTATGTAAATCGCAGTTGCCTGCACTAATTTTTGGATTCTTTGGCGTTGGATATACAAGTCATTCTCTTGACTGACTGGTTTCAAGGTAGGACTTTGCGCAAATGTGCAGCATTTCGAGTTGCCACCTTCCATGTAGCAAAGAAAGCAAGAGAAGAGAGTAATGAAAGGTGCAAAACAGAGATATGAATAGTAATATTTTGATTTGACACTCGTAACTACTGTGATGTGTCTAGTCCTCTCATTTGTGCAGACTGAATTCTATCAGTCAAGATGATGTGGGTTCGAATCTCAGAAGGGACACGAGTTCCTTCAATTTTGCAGATACGCCTCGCTGTCGAGTGCCAACTAGCACGAAACCTTGGTCCAAGGCTTCCTGTGGCCGATTGCCTCCAACCATCTAACATCACCAGAATAGTAATATGGAAGAGCAATAGAGTTTTGTTGGATATTATAAATTATAAAGAGTGAATGCATCTGTGCCTCTGAGAACGATTTTGAGTCAAATCATCAGTATATTGTTTGGTTTCATAAGCTGAATTGCAGATTTATACTTAGATAAAGGAAAGGTTACATGGCACGTTCGTTTCACTGTCCTAACGCCAGTGAACTACATAACTACAGATTTGTCTTGATGTCATTCAAATAAACTTACTAGAGCATATCGCATAGAAAGAAAGAGGTAAGTGAAGACATTAAGAACAATAATTTTGTCATATGTGGTCAATAACTGTCACATTGCATTAATACGAAACCCCGGAACACTACATTCTACCAAACCAATCAAATTCAGTTAAAACTTGCCATTTATCATCATATATAGCAATTTGTGTAGATGGTTTCCGTCTTTGTTATGATAACGTTTGTCAGTTGTTTTTGATTGGGCGCAGCTT